AGCGAGCCTGAGCGACAGCGGAGAGGTTTCTGTCACCAACTTCACATTCAGTCTAATTTCATCATCATTTTTTATTGAATATGTTCCAAAAATGACTTCTTCATCTATTTACTGGTGCCATGAATTATTGAGGCAATTTAAGACTTAATTTTATGCTGGGGGTTTGATAATAATCCCGTCTTTAGAGAATTATATTTATCTACTTTTGTTCATCTCAGTTTGAAAAGAAAGGAACTAAATCTGTCTGTAAAACTGGACTAAAATACCACAAAACATCATTTTAATATTTTGACCAGATGAAAGTATTATTATACATTACACTGCAAAACACAAAATATCACCAAGAAATTTTAGCCTAATTTCAAGTGAAAACATCTTAGTGTGCTTGAAACTCAACTATGTCACAAGTGACTTTTATTAAGGAGTTACTGACTAAAAACAAGCCTCCATGTCTGATGAAATGTTACCTGTAAGTTACTTATTTCAAGCGTAATAAGATATTAGAAAGTAAACTAAAGTTACTGGGTAAGATTTTGTATTTTGCAGTGAAATGATTGTTGCTGGTTCTAGAGAAATTTCTGCATCCTGATGTCAGCGCTTCTGGCTGTCCAGGTTAAAGGTCACTGTTAGGCCACAGTGTTCAGATCACCTAAAGAGCTTACCTTTCTAAGCCAACCCCTCACCTGTCACCTGACCTCCCTGCTTTCAGGTCAAAGTAGATTTCCTGATGAGATCATAGATCAGACTCTGAACTCCCTCAGCTTGTGTTTGGTCTCTGCTTTCCTGATTGAAACATCCAGATTTAGGAGACCGGCTCCAACCGGACAGGTGACAAACCTGTGGAGGTGAGGTGGTTTGGTCAGCTGGTCAGGATGCTGCCAGATGGCTGCTGGTGGAGGTTACCTGGGGTCGCCACTCTGGGAGGAGATCCAGACAATTTATCCTGTCAAACATTTAGGATCCCAGAGGAGCAGATGGAGAAAGATGCTGGAAAACCGAAGAACTTCTCTGGGTTCAGTTCTTCACACGCTTCCAGTTCCTGATTCTAATGAGGAACGGGAAAATAAACGAAGGACAAGATGGAGAGACGGACAGACGGACGGACAGAGACGGATAACTGATTCTCCTGTTTTGTTGTGAACGTTCTTCTCATTCTGTTGTCATGGTGACAATCTCTTTAATCGAAATGAGTTTAATTAAATCAGTTAAACTCCTTTAACTGATTTAATTAAAGGATTTATTGGTGAAGTTTCCCAGAATAAAACTTGCTGGACGTTTGAGTCTAAACTAAAACTGCTGAGATTATTTATAACCTTTAATGGTTTGTAAAAATCAAAGTTTTTACTCTTTCAACTAAAAAATTTAAAGTTTCCACTGGAAAAAAAACACAGGTGAAGTAAAACACTTTTTACCTTTTAGAATAAAGGAACACAGAAGCATCCATGGAATAATTTGCAAACACTTTGGTTTTATTAAATATGGAAATGTGATAATTTAACAAACAGATTGACGGACTCAGAGCTCAGATTTGTTTGGTTCTGCTTGCAGCAACTCTTCTCTTTCTGGGTGGGATAACTCGGCGGTACCTGCTGTGTCACGGTTTGATGAGTTTTGAGTTTTTAACCGGAGGATCTCTGTGGGGAGGATCCAGACCACAACGGAGGCGCTGCTGTCCACAGACGCCAGCGTCTGCAGGTATCTGAGGCGCAGAACTTCAGGCGACAGGTGGGACGCCGCCTCCCTTAAAGTACGAGACGCCTTCACTTCCCCTTCAGCCACCAGCATCTGAAACAGAGGCACTTCAAAACCAGCACAAACATGACAAATCATCCAACTTTTAGCACAACAACTCCACACATATTAGACATTTGTGTTAAAATGTGAATGAGTTCATTTTTTAGTATAAAATTTTCATTGTTCCCTTTAGTTACTGACATTAATGAGGAATAAAAACATTTCCTTCCACTCAGAAAAACAAAAACAACAGAAACTGAAAGATTTTTGTTGTTTCTACATCAGAAACTGATGTAGAGATAACAGGAGTCTGTTTCTTGTTACTTTTTTGTTTTAGTTTATTAAATTTGTTTTTTGATGAACAAATTTGTGGGCCATCCATGAGCCTTGAAATGATTTTGTTTGCCCATGACCACGAATCATGAACGGCAAAAATCTGGCAAACAACAAAACAAATAATGACCCAAAAAATGGTCATTATTTTTCTGTTTTTCTTTGAATTGGGCAGCAGGTCAAAGCCACAGGTTCTGTGTGGCGCTGCTCATGTCCTTTCTCCTCCTTGCTCTGCGCTACGCTGAAGCTAGCAGAGGCTAGTTAGCATAACCGTTGCTATGCTAATGATAGATAAACAGTTTTCCTGTAACTTTAAGCTGGCATATCAATCTGATTGGTTGTTTTTTGCATTTCTTCAGTCGTTCAGGGAGGTGGGAGACTAATTTTTTCACAGATTTCAAAATGAACTGTCATGACATGGTGACAGTTTGAACAAATTTCATGCTGCAGCTTTCAGGTAACAGTGAATATCGTGGTGAACAGGGCAGGTGGTGTCTGGTGGCCGTGTTACTGCAGCAGTACCATCGCCCGGGCCGTCCTCACAGCCTCGGCCTCTGAGCCCAGGGAGCGCCGCAGAAGCTTGGGAAGCTTCAGATTTCTGAGCTCCACTCGCTGGACCTGAACGCCCCACGGCCTGGAGCCGGGCTGCAGCACCTCCTGCAGGACGTGAAGCAGTAAAATCATTTGTAACCCTGATATAGAGATAAACCGTGGCAGCTTGCCTGTGTCTGACCTCCATTCTCATGGCTATGGTAGGCCGCTGCGTCAGCAGGTCTGTCAGCTTGTGAGCGCCCAGCACCGCCCTGAGGGTCGCCTGGACCAGCCAGTATGTGGCATCATAGCCATTCTGCACCTGGGTGAACCAGAGGGTGGGATCCACCACGCGGTAAAACACCACGGTGTCCACCAGTAACGGGACGCTGTCTGCTGTTAGAACCTGCAGGAAGGAGGAAACGTCTGAAATCACCTTCAGGTTTGACCACAGACTGTCACAAGCAGTGAAGAACAAGAAAAACAAGAAATGGAAAAGTAAATCTCCACCAAAATGTTGAGATTCATTTAACATATTTCCAAATTTGCTGATGTGAAAATTTTAAACAATATTTAGATTATAAATATATTTTCTGACATTATAAAGTCAGACATTTGCAAGAAAAAGTGGCACAAGTCCTCAGAATGAGATGGTAAATGATGGAGACGCCTATCTGGATCTTTTCCACAATGGAAATGGTACATCTGGAATCATTTCCTGGATCCAAAATGTTCCTGGACCAGAACATTTTCAAGGTCCAGACTCATCATGAAGCCTCCGGCAGGACACAGAAATATTTTTTAATATAAAATGCCACATAATGTCAGAGAATATGCTAGTTTAATACTATAAATTTTTGTTTTTAATTGTGGAAAACTGTACATTTCCTGGCAAATGTATGAAAATGTAAACTTAAATTCCACATATTTTTATGAAAATGTTTGGCAGAAATGCACTCCTCCCTGACCAATAATTCATTCTTCTTTTATTGAAAAACAAACATATATATCCTACATATACAGCCTCCAAATATGTAGGAGGTTTAATTCATATAAGACATGTTGCAGTTTTTCTAAAATTTTCAGTGCAAATATAGTTTGTATTTTGTTGTATGCTAAACAAAAATGTAGCAGAAATACTGAGGAAATGATGAAAAGATTAAAATAAAGAGCTTTATCTGCATTTATAATCTATTTGACAAAAACATAAACACATTTTACATGTAACCGTAAATAAATGCAGTAGTAACTGTGTAATTAGCAAAGACCTGTTGTGGGTAGATGTAAATGGAGAGAATTCGAAGGTCAACCTTCTGAATGACATCCAACCAGGGAATGAACCAGACTAAACCTGCAGGAACAAAACCAACAACACTCACAATATTACAGCAGGAGTCAGAATAAAAATATGTTTTACAGCCTCAGAGAAGAGCTTTCCTGTTCAGTGTCTTAAAATGTCAGAATCATACGAGTGATAAATGCATTCATTGGTATAATAATTAAAAACAAAACGACTGCAGTCTGAGTTTAACAGAAAAAGATACCAGGTCCTTTAGCTGATCCTTTAACAACCCGGCCCAGTCTAAAGATGACAGCTCTCTCATACTCCGGACAACCTGCAGCACAGACACACACATCACATTGCATCAGTTAAAACACTGATTCAGAAAAGATATGAAAACACTTTGAAAATGGGCTCAAATTATGACAAGTGTGGAGATTTATCTAAGAATGAGTAAAAAATAAAATAAATTTGGCATCTGATCTGAATTTGATCAGTTGTACTCTACTGACGCTTAAAAATGATTCAAAACAAAAGTCTTGTTGGCTGCATGATGGTGCAGTTGGTAGTAACTGTACTATGCAGCAAGATTTTGAAATAAATCAGATTAAAAACCTTAAAAACATCCAGTTATCGCCCTTTATAAATTGAATAAAATTCACGCTAATCTCTTGATTTAAGAGAATATGTCTTTACTGTAAAATAATCCAGTCTAGGCATCATATATTGTAGTGGAAAATCAAAAACAAAGTCTAAAAACTTTTCCCATAATTTTTAAAATAATGTGAAGGTTAAAACAAAACTAGATCTATTTTATGAGACTCACCACAGAATAATTCTGTTCATGCTTGGGTCTGTCCAAACAGTGAGATTTTTCTGCTTAATTATATAAGTTATGTTTAAATAAATTGTTGCAAAATGATCCAGTTGATGTTTGACCATTTAAGTGTTTAATATTTGTAACTGAAGCGAACAGAAGTTGGCCCAGCCAGTGGGAAGCCATCTTTACTCCGTTAGCTTTACCTGAACGCAGCTCCACGCTGAGAAGGGGAAGGTGAGGAGGATGAGCAGCACCGACAGGACCGTTAACGCCGCCTCCAGGATGCCGACAGCCCCGCCCTGTCTCACTTCTCCACCTGCACACACCAACAGAGGCAACAGAGGCAGTAGAACCGAGCTTCGCCTTCAGTTAATCACGGTAAAATCCCGCTAATGGCTAAATGTAGCGACCTGTTCCTCTTTCAACTCCAACCTTGTTAGAAACGCCGATCATCATCCCTCAGACTACTGGCAAATATGTCTGTTTCAACACAGAGTTAACCATGATTAAAAACCAGTTATGTTACATTACACTTAAATTAAATCGTTTTTCAGTAAAGTTTTCGCAACCGTTATGAGTTTGCGACGTTTGCCCCGCACGCGACACGGGATGGAGACCGCGAGCTGTCGCTTAGCAACCAGAGGAGGCGCCGCGGGCGCCCTCTTCAGGTCACAAGAAGAAGTTAAGGCAATTACTGTTTACTTTATTCTACTGTAAACCTTTAGTGCGTTAAACGTTTAGATATTTTTTGTTCTTATTTAGGGGTTAGTTTCTCAGTAAATGACACGCCAACTTCATAAAACATTTTATTATACCTTACAATGAAATCAGGGGAAATACAACAAAAAATAAAAAGCAAACCTGCAAAGTTCAGCAAAACTCAATTGTTCCAAATTACTGAAGGAAATGCAAAGGAAACTATTTTTTTTCAGTTTCATGTAAAAACATAAGACTTTCTAAAAATGACAAACATACATGAAACATGTTTTTTTTTTTGTGGAATATGTGTAAATTTACATTCTGTATTTTATAACCAAACTATTTCACACACAAAGTGGATTCCAGTTTAATTGGAATCAAAAGTGTCAACATGGTCTAAAACTGACTTAACTTCTTCACTCTGACTGGAGAGACACAGTGTAAATAAACACGGTTTTCCTCCAATCAACAGGTTATCACAGTCAACCAGAAGAGGGCGCCCCACTCTTTACTTGTACATTTTATTGGCCTGCTGCATCTTGTTATTTGGATCAATAATTAGATGATTAGATTAATTTTAACTTGCTGTTATAGGTCTGAATGTGAATAAATGGGAGCTTTTGACTGTGACTGAAACTATCAAGCCTGACTGCTATTATCTTAAATTATCTTCGCATATGTTATAAAAGCATATGCTAGGCTAAGAAAATAAAAAGTTTTCCTTTTTATTCCTTTTAAAGTTAAACGGGTTAAAAAGCTGTTGAACTTTCATTGCTTTAGGCCGGCTGTACCCAATAGGGCATGTAGTTTAGAACAGCAAGGTGAATAGTTTTCGAGAAAAACCCCCCAGAAATGAACCAAACTGCAAAAATTGACCTGAATTGAATTAAACTTACCTAAATCTTGAATTGAACTGAATCTAAATGACCTGAACTGAACTGATATGAATCATTCTTTCACAGATGACACAACACAATGCGTGTGAAGTTGCTGCTTTTTATAAAACTTGGTTGTTCATTTTCATACAATAATTGTTTCTGACAGCTTCTGATTGGTTCTGGACAGTTCTGCCTGTAAGCTTCGCTGTTATCTGCACATCTTTTAGTTTCCATTTAAGTGTCTCATTGTGACATCTAACTTCCTGTGAAACTGTGAGAAAACGCTTTGGTTTCCTGATGCCCTCTCAGTGAGAGTTCTGCTCTGCACCTCCAGGCATCGAGAGCTGACCGGGCGGCTCTGTTCTGGAGCTGTTCTGGCTTTAACCGGGTCGTGGTTCTGACCGTTTTCAGGGCTGTTTGTGAAAGCAGAAGCTCCTGCGCTGTGCAGGTGGATGTCGGCCTGTCGGCCCGCGGCCCCCGTTCGCCATGGCAGCGGCTCTGCCGGAGTGTTACCACGGCCCGATGACCAAGAGGGAGTGTGAGGAGGTTCTGGGGAGGAAGAACAAGGACGGAGCGTACCTGATCCGAGAGAGCGAGTCCATCCAGGGAGCGCTGTGTCTCTGCGTCTAGTGAGTAAAACTCAGCAACACATCAGCTCTGATTAATCAGAATCAGGTCAACAAATCAGATGCTTTGATCAGCTGCTGATCAAAGCATCTGATCTTTGTTTCAGATTCAACAAAGCAGATCTGAAACACACTGCAAAAAACAAACAAACATTTTATTGAGCGTTTTGGTTTAGTTTATGATGCAATTATCTTTCTTCACTTAATTAACCTTAATTGAAAGGTCAATAGGTAACCTTTCAATTCTTTAATATTGATTAAACAAGTACTTGTTTGACTTACAACCTGGGAAAAATGTTTTTCTGCCAGTGGAACTAGAACTTTTTCAGGAATGGTGAGAAATTATTCACTTCCAACTAGGTCCTTCTTCTTGCTGAATAGTTACTTCTAAGTTTATTTTGTCTTATTTTAAGTGTGCTGAGATATTTTCACCAGAGACGAGGCAACAAAAACTTATAAGTTTTGTGTTTTTACAGTGCAGACGGAGCGTCCCCTCACCATCCTCTGTACTGCAGCCGGTTCTGTTCAAACGCAAACTAATGTGTTTATTTCCACTAAAGTTGTGATGTAGAGGTTAACCAGCCTGTACAGCGTCTGTGATGAATTATTATTCATGATAATATTTAACGTATTGGTCTTTAGTATGAAAACTGTGATGTGTAGCTTAGACTGAAACAGAAACCAAGTGTTTCCGTCTGCTTTCTAGTGCAGATATCTGAGTGCACTGGGATAAGACAAACTAATACATGGAAGCTTGTTTTATGCCAATAATTTCTTAATATTGATGAAAACAGTCCTAGTTCCTCTAGCAGGTTATTTCATTTTTCCCCAATAATAAGTGAAATAATCTGCCAGTGGAATTACTTCTTATTTACTTAAAACAGGCTTTTATATTTTGCTGAAAAGTTACTTGTAAGTTAGTTTTGTCTTATTTCAAGCATTCTAACTTATTTACACTAGAAACAACAAAAATACTTGATAGGATTTTGTGTTTTTGCAGCTGATAAATCAGTAAAAAATGTAAATATTTGCGCTGTTTTTGGCTCTGAAAATAATCACGATTGTGAAAAACGATTGTCTTCTGATGGATTAAGAGTTAGCTGCAAAACTTACTTACATTAAATTTTTTGCAAGAAATCGGATCTTGTTTTATGCCAATAATTCCTTAATGTTGATGAAAATGTTCTAGTTCCACTGGTAGATTATTTCACCGATAAAAAGAAATGTTTCTGTGTTTTGAGTTAAATAATTTCCGGCTTCGAACCGTTTGAGACGGTTTTCGGCAAAATGAAGCCAAATTAAATGAATTGTACAAAAATGTCAAAATTTGCACAGAAATATAAAGATGGAACCCTAAATAACTTGTTTACACGGTTTAAAGAAGTTTCTTTGAGTGAATTTTACTGTAATGTTTGAACAGAGCGAGACGTTAAATTACTCTTTGCGCAAGGTCAAGCTTGTGACCTTTCCAGCAGGTTTTCCCATTTCTCTGTAAAATAAAGGCCACTGGTGACAAAGAAACCTTAAAAAAGAGACGTATGAAGACTTCTCTTCCTTTGGCCTTTGAAGTTAGGGACTTGCAACTGCAGAAATGCAAAAAGCTTTTTCTGCTGAATGTTGCAGTCAGTCTCAGCTGGTAAAGAAATAAAAGCCTGGATGAAGAGAAGAAGGAAATGCACGACCAACATAGAGAACATGAATCTCATTTGGTGTCTAAAACCCCAGGAATCAATCTGCTGCAGGACATTTAGTGTTTTTAATGCTCGGATTGAGTGACCTCACAGTAACTCAGGTTATTGCAGGTTTTGAATGTTTCATGTGGTACATGCAGATTAATTTGTGCTGCTGAAGTGGAAAGAAAAATAGAAATAATATCCGTATGAAGTAAAAGGAACAAAAATTAGAGAAGGAAGTTTGTGAATGTTACGCATTAATGAGCTGCAACAAACCTGCTGGTTTTTCCTGGAAAGAAACTCAACAAATTTTACTGATGAACTGAAGTTGATAACTGGACCAACTGAAACATCTGAACTGAAATCACACAGATCCTCCAGATGATGAGTTCACATAAAGAAACTGAATTATTTCTCTTGGTTTTCAGCTTCTGAAGGTGCCCAGAGCTGCAGTTAATTAGGGCATCTTGAAGCGATCTGTTGACAGGAACCGGTTGTGGCAGTTCAATGGCCATAACCACACAGTGGAGCTCTGAGGGTTTCTGACACATTTTATGGTGAAATCAGACAAAACATGAGGATTAAATGGATTTGCATTTTCATAACTATCAAAAGGCAAGAAACAGCCGTGACTAATTAAATGATTAATATGTTTTCAGTTATATTTTTGTGTTATTAATAATCACAAAACAGAATATAATTTAAGAAAAGTGTTAATCTGGTGTAGGTATTTAATCCGCCTTAGTCAAATTAACAGAAAGTCAAGTTTTATGGCCACAAACGCAAAAAGATGCAGGAGACGAGGCGAGTCTTTCAAACATTTAAACCACATTTACTGCCACTAAGTTTACAAAAGTAAAACTTAGCTTGTGAATTAAATATTTAGCTTACAAACTAACTAATTATTTAGTTTGTAAAGTTAAGAGTTAGCTTGCTGATTGAATGTTTAGTTTGTAGCTAAATATTTGGCTTTCTAACTAAATAATCAATCTATAAACTAGATATTTAGTTTGCTTACTAAATATTTACAATGGAACTGAATCTTTTACTTACTAACTAAATAGTTTAGAGCTAAATATTTAGTTTGCAAACTGAATATGTTGCTGTCTAAATATTTTTGCTTGAAACTGTGACATTTATTATTGCTGTTAGTTTTTCTGCTGTGTAACTTTACAAACGTCTCCCCACAGACTTTGATCCAAATCAAATTCAAATTATTTTTAGAAAATCATGCTTGCTTACTGTAAGGCCACTAAATCCCCAGATTAAATAAAAACAGAAGTTAAAATCCCCAAATAAATCTGACGTTCACATGAATTAAGTGTGGGTGTTCAGGAACTCTATTCATGTCTGAGGTACATGTTGAGCCTAAATGGGAGAATCAAATAAAATGATGTAATCACTGGGCCGAAAACTGAGCCCTGAGGGACACCACAGAGCGGTTTTACACCAACCCTGTTGGTGGAGCTCTGTCAGCTGCCTGACCATCGAACCAGATAACCAAATAATGATTAACATGATCCACCGACAGCAGGAACACAGCAGATAAGAAACCTGAGAGTTTTTATTCCAGGTGTGATTCTTCTGATTAAGAGCCATATTTATCTCTGGACAAGCTAGATCTATAAAAACGTGCCGCTGGAACCAAATCACCTGATGACCTGCATTAATTAGTCTCAATAAAATATAATCGTTATGTTTATTTCATTTATTTCATTTTCAATTCAGTTCAATTCAATACAAATCAAGATGAAATGCTGTCTTGACTTAAATAATCCTAGTATCTCTAAATAAGAGATTCTGTGATGCTCCAGTAGCAGTCAGTCTTGCAGTGTTTCTGAATAGGCTTCTGACTGAAGGCCATTGCTGTATGACTGTTATGACATTCTAACAGTGCAATATCAGCCCTGCAGAGATAATATCCCACAGCAACATGTTCAGCTGCTCGCTAACTCTGCTGATCCGCCTCCTTTGCTTTTGCTCCTCCTCTTTAAATCTCTCTCTGGACTTTTGGTTGGAAAGCAGAGAGACGTCACTATGATCGATGGAATAGACGGTGTGAACTTCCTCCCCCATGTCCTCACTTTCAACTCTTCTGGGATTTGGGGTCAAAGGTCAGGTACTATTTGAGCATTCATGATGCTAACGACCTACATCCAGCTGTAAAAACAACATGTTGTAACCATGGCTATGCATCATAGGAACTGTCCTAAATAAGGAAAATGAGAGGGAAAATCTATTAAGCTGCCCAGCATTCAAACCCATAATCCTCCAAACAAACAAACAAACAAACAAACAAATGATAAACAAAACCAATCAGAGCCAAGAGAGCTGCTCCAACCTGCAGCGCCTTCCTAAAATCACTGAAACTGAAATGCTCTCAGAAGTACATACTGACTGTGATTAGATTAGTTTTAGTGCAAATATCTCAGTAAACTGGAAATAAGATAAAGCTAACTATTCACATGTAGCTTGTTTTATGTAAATAATTTCTTAATATTGATGAGAACTTACTGGTTCCACTGGTAGATTATTTTACTGAATACAGGAGAAATAATCTGCCAGTGGAACTAGTCATTTTTTAACCAAGATCAAGGAATTATTGACTTAAAACAAGCTCCGATATCTTGCCGCAACGTGACTTTAAGTCAGTTTTATTTTACTTCAAATGTACTAAGATATTTATACTAGAAACTAGACCAAAATACTCAGTAAGATGTTGTGTTTTTGTAGTGTTTATCTTCTCGTTTTCAGCACACAGCTGAATGTTAAATAAATGTCATTTGGGCTCTTGAATTTGGTTGCTCATTGAATGGAAACTGAGTGGAACCAGTCAGACTGTCTGTGTTTTGTGAGTGAAGTTGCTTTGCATGGCTGGCTGCCGCCGGGGAAGCGGTTGGTTTCTTTGTTCCTTTTATTTTTAGAAACCCCAGCTCTTCGTCGTCTTGCTCCACACTTTGATGGGGTCAGGTTGAGGTTTAGTTGTGGTCGAGTTTTGCATTCATCTTGTTCCAAAACGTGCTCGCAAGTGTGTTTTCACGCAAAGTAAAACGCACCTAATGCACCAAAACTCATGCAGACGCCTTGGCCAGATGGTTAAATCGGAACAATTCACTGTTCAGCTCCTCTACTGCCGGAGGGGTCAAAGGTTGCTCAGTCAATCGACTCTGTGTCTACTGTGCATCACTGCTGGTTCTCTGGTTAAAGGTCAGGAAAGGGGCAGCTAACATCTCTGCACACCCCACACATGCTGGACTTAAACTGTTTACAATTTTACCTTCAGGTCATTGCTAGCTTATTTTATCTCCCTTTTTATATATTTATGTTTACAATGTCATTCTTGTTTGTGTGCAGAAACTCAAGTGAAGTTGGATCTAGGGATGGTGGATATAAGTGCAACATTTTATAACAATAATTTGTCACGAAAAAAGGGGATGAGAAGAAAAATGAATTCCTTCTTCTTGGTCTCTGTATAGCATTCAATCAAATTTAGCGACCTTTAGTCATACCCTTTATTGAACCAGCAGTGGATTAAAAATAATCAAATAATCCCGACAGATAGTTTAAACATGATTAATTGGAAATAGATTTATCACGATGAATAATAAACGATATAATAAAAGCCCATACAGAGACACTAGAGAGGTGAGTAATGTTGTTTCAGACATGGTGGATAATTTTAGTCTTCACAGTTTTAAAAGCAGAATCATTGCTGATAAAACGGTAATGTTTCATCTCTAAACATGAAAAGCGGTTTTCTGCAATACTTCCTCTAAACTCCTTCCTCACTAACAGACGTCTTGTTTTCTCTTTGCAGCAAACAGAAGGTGGTTTATACCTACAGAATCCTCCAGGCGCACAACGGAAACTACACCCTGCTGGTAAAAAACAAAAACGCTTTTACGTTTTCAACATGTGGCGTCTCTGATTAGCTGCTGCCTCCGTCTCTATTCCTGTGCCACATTACATGCTTATTTATTCCTGATTATTATTAACTGATCAATTTAGTTACTTTAGACTCAGTTCGATTGGGGAACAAAACTGCAACATTTGTTGCATTTTCAGCTAAACTCATTGAAAAGCCTGTTCCCCTCCTCACCTGTGGGGGCGCTGCACCAAGTGCCACCTCAGGAAACGACACAAAAACCTCTGAAGAAAGCAGTGAGCGCAAAGTCCTTCTTTAGAAAACAATTGAAAAAATTGACAGATTTTAGTGATTGTAGGGTTTCCTTTTTTAAGATCTGTTGAAATGAGATTTTCTGAGCAGAATTTAGAGTCGTGTTTAATAAGTTATTAGACTTGATAATGTCAGTGACAATAAAACTGAACTGTGTGCTTGTTCAACTAGGTGAGGACAGTTTGTGAAATAATCATTTGGTTAGGTTATTAAGTCATAGAGGTGTACTTTATGTCATATTTTGGTAGTGATCCGATACTAAGTAAATACCAGGCAAGTATCACCAATACCGATACCGATATGTATTATTTTAGTATATCATCAACATCTTTGTGTTTTTGTTTTTTCCCCTTTTAATTGTTAAATATCTGAACAGAATTTAGATAAAGTTTATGTGTACTTCAGTTACCTATTTACACAATAAACAGAACCAATAGAAAAACAAAGCAAATGTTTGTGCATTGTTTCCAAGTAAAGTTCAATATTATTGATATTATCTTCGTTTTGGGTTGATCTGCTCACCCCTACTAAGTTAGAGCAACTCACAATTCAAGAGTAATGATCTATCAGATCTTGAACCAATATTTAGACACTTTGTTTGAAATAAGCTTCATAAACTTTAAATTATTTCACCATTTTCTGGTTGACTTTATTTGCTTTTTCATCATTTTCAAGTTCAACCACCTTCAGTTGTTTTGCTGTTTGTCATTGTTTCAGCACACAACTACATTTTCCACCGCAACAAAATGCAAAAACCTGTTTTTGCACCGAATGATGTTGTTCTCACACTGATTATTATCAGTTAATAAAATAATGCGTTTGGTTGACGGCAGCTCACCCACAGCTTTTCCATGAACTCATTCTGGTTTAATGAATGTGTGAAAAACAGTTTCTTCTGCAAATGTCTGAAAACCAGACTAACAATACTTGATGAGAATTTGAGTTTTTACAGAAATTTCAGCTTCTAGCAAGAATTATTTAAAAGGGTCTTAATTTCTGGTAGATTTGTCATCAAATAGATGAATAAAGTAGATTGGAGATATTAGGTTTCATCAAAGGAAGAAATTCACCCCCATGAAGGAAACTCTCCCCCACAGCAGAGGAAACATTTCAGGTTTTTTTCCCTCCACACACCGAATGATGTCAGAGCGAATAAAAACACGACGATGCCCACGTGCCCGACGTGTCACCTTAAGGTTAAAGGTCAAATGGAAAAATGGATGGGTTTATTTATTTTTTGACAAATCTCAGTAACTGATTCCATAACAGGATTTTGGTAGCTTTCAATATTTCTTATCTTCAAATCACCCAGTTTGATTTATTAAATTTTATTTTTTTCTATTTTTTCTACTTAATTTTAAATTAATATTAGTTATATTATTATTTGTTATTTTCTTTGTTGTGATTGTTACACATTTGAAACTTAATATTTTAATATATTTTTGTTAATATTATTTTATCTTTTTGCATATTGTTTTCAGTTTTTTACTCATTTTTGTTTTGTGACTCATTTAATTTAAAATATGAATATGTTGTTCATCAATATTATTTTATCTTTTTGTATATCATTGTTGTTAGATTTTAAATTTGTATGAAATGTTTATTTCCATATATACTGATATTTTTTCCATAATCACAAAATTAAATATATAAATATTACATACATGAATCCTCTTTTTCTATTGTTCCCATTTATTATTTTAACATTTTGGTTTACAGTTTACCTATTGAGTTTACGTGTTGCTTCATGTTGGATTATGCATTTAAACATTTTTTCACATTTTGCACTCTGCTTGCTGATGAAAACATTGAGTTATTGATTATCGATTTGCTGCACCTTCAGCTTCTTCATGCCTGTATCTGTGTGTGTCGCTCCACAGACAGCAGGAGGTTTGCAGGAAACGTATTTTAAGACTCTGGGCGATTTAATCCGTAATTACAAGAGGAAGAACCAAGGACTGGCCGTTCATCTGCGCCACGCGTTGAAAAGAAAAACGCCCATGTTGATCCAGCCGCCGAGGAGAACAGAAACACAACCTGAAGCTTCGGCCGGAGCGTCGGCCAGAGGATGGGGCGGAGGATCAGCTGGAGGATCAGCAGGAGGATCAGCAGGAGGATCGGGTGGAGGATGGTGTGGAAGATGGGGTGGAAGATGGGGTGGAGGATCAGGAGGAGGATCAGCAGGAGGATCGGGTGGAGGATCAGCAGGAGGATCAGCAGGAGGATCGGGTGGAGGATCAGCAGGAGGATCGGGTGGAGGATCGGGTGGAGGATGGGGCGGACACTCATTGCAGAGAGGAGCTGCTCCTTTACCTGAAGAGGATAATGACTATGAAAGTACGTGAAATGTTTAGTCTTGGTTACCTGCAGTGTTCTTTTACTCTCTGTTTTTTAATTGAACTTCTCTGTTTTACTGCAGATGCTCCAAATTCAGATTATGTGGAAGTTATTCCAGATTAACTGTCAAACCAGCCTGAAACCGAAGGACAACAAGAACACAGACTGAACTTTATTTGGGATTAGATGCTTTATTTTTTATGCAAAGCTCTGAGGAGATTTATTGCATTTGCACAATTTAGGTAAAAAAAGCCTGAAAAGGTGTGTGAATGTAGAGTGAATGTCCTCCCAGTTATTGACTCTGAATGAGAGGATGAACTTCTGCAGTTTCTCTGTGAGCGCAGAAGAAGAAGAAAGAAGAGAAGTAGCGCTCTGCAATCACAAAAGCTGTATTTACTTTGACATTTTGTTTTACTCCTGGCAGTAGAAACTTTGATATTAATATAGACATTTTTGTGCTGTTTGTTCTGATGTGCATAAAATAAATCTTATCTGAACATCATTAAAGGGTCATAAGCTGTGAAACGCAACAAAATATCTGCAAGAATTTAAATCCCTTCTTTCAACAGGAAGACGGGCATCAAGTGATCAATAAAACATTTCCCCATAAGTGACATAATCTGCTAGATTTAAAACAAGCTCCTCTATCTAATTAGTAAATTTGTCTTGTTTCCAGTGTACAAAGATATTTTCATCGTGAATGACATCACAAATACTTGGTATCATTTTGTGTTTTTGCGTGTGGTTTTGAGAGCAACTCAGGACATTTCTCAACATTTAAGAAACCTTCGATTGTATCAGCAAACCTACAAAAATGTAGAAAGGAACAGAAGAATCAGCAGAAAAAGGTCAGACTGAGGGACATTTCGCTGACATGTGGTGTCTCCAAGACGAAAGTGAAGAAAGTGAAAGGACATTTAAAACTTGATTTAGTGAATGATTTCTTAATGTTTTCGTAGATATTCTGGGATTACAACTCTTTTGTTCCACTCATGTAAGGTTTTACAGATAGTTTGTTCTTCTTTTTTTTAAAGTGCAGATATTTCAGCAGAAACTCGTCAAAATAATTGTGAGAATTTGTTTTTGCAGTGTGAAAAAAGCTTTGGTGCTGTGCAGAAATTCCCGATTCGCTTACAGTTCCTCCAGAAACACACATCTAGTCTTGTGCAGATGGTGTGTTTTTTATTTATGTTTTTGGGTTTCTTTGGTGCAAGGATTGCCAATTGACTAAAAAAGCAGACAGTCTGAAGAGAGAGGACACCTCAGAACAATGTTCCAAAAGAGTCTGTTAAAAGGAGAACTGGATAGAAATAGGACATATAATTCAGTTAAATGTGGAAGTAGATCACTACATAGAAGGTAACCAAAAAAAAACAATGAGTCACTGCTGAGCCGCAGCAGCAAACTACAACCGAACCCAGAGTGTGTTCAGAGGAACTGAAAGAAACAGTGCAGAAATACAACCAAATCCTGCTACTGCGTTAGATTCCCGCTTTAGCTCCTGAAGTCTGAGGACAAACGTCTTTACATGCAAGCAGATTGCTGCAGTTCATCCAGTGAACTCATTCATTACACCACAGGGACCAGACTTTCTTCTCTGCTGCAGTGAAGCTGAGTTTAAACATTTTAAATCAAGCCTTAAACTGAAGAAATATGGAATATATTTATGGTCAACCATTATGTTTGAGTAGAGAACAGAATTTTAACTGTCAGTGTTAATGATTCATTTCAGCAAATATTATCTCTGTCTAAAAAGCTAAATCTAACTAAATATTTAGATAGCTAAACAGTCAGCCCACAATTTAAAAAATGAGGTCAAAACTAAATGAGTTGAAGCTGCAAATTTAGCTAGCAACCTAAATATTTAGACCAAAAACTGCATATTCAGGTAGAAAACTAAATATTGAGCTACAAAGTAAATAGTTGAAAGATAAGAATTTAGTTCACAAGTTAAATATATGGCCTACAAACTAAATATTTATCCAGCAGACTAAATATTCAGGCTGGACCTGGTGCCTTTAGATCTGAATGTTGCAGCTGAAGTGGATTCATGTCGGACCAGGTAACGTCTCTACACTCTGTAACCGGATCGTTGTGATCCTCTGCTGCTGCTGCTCTTCTTCTTCTCTTCCCTTGTTCTCTGATATGTGAGCTGCTGTGTCGAAATCCAATCTCTCTATTCAACCCTGACATCAGCAAAGCCACATTTGTAAAATACATTTTCACGTTTATGAAATTCGGTGTAATTATTCCATTTCTGTTTTTACTGCCTTATAACAAAGATTAAACTGGGTTTGAAGATTTTTGCTCTGTTTCTCACATTATTTAGTGTTCTGTCCTTTAATAAATCAATTTAATTGGAATTGATTGAAATGTTTTCACTCTTTTCTGTAAACATGGTTATGAATGAAAAACCAAATCCAGATTCAAAATCACTTAAATCCTCTTTTTTTTCTGCTTTTCTTACATGTAACAGCCAACTTTCTTGAGCAGCTTTGAGTTGGATTAAAGCGATGATTAATAACAAAAAGCTGCTGTGTGCCATGTTTATCTCTTTCAGTGACCTGAAGTTCAAAATGAACCATGAAAATACTTTTGGGTTCATAGTTGCAAAATTAAACATTTTCTGCAATTAAACGGCTTTTAGAAATATAAATGACTTTTTAGGTTATTTTAGTGTTTATTATAATGAGTTTCTAGGTGATCTGTTCATGATACACAGCCTTACCAAGCACTCGCCAAACAATAAAGGAAGTGACAAACCAAGATATTCTCAGTCACACACACTCTGACCTCTTTTTACTTCAAGCCTTAAGCTGTATTTTAACTGTTTAGTCCTATTTGTACTTTCTGAAGGTTATAAAAAACAGTTTCAGATGCATTCTGAGTCTGGGTGGCGCTGAACGTGTGAATCAAATTTCTCACATTACAATCCGTTGGTCAGCTGAAGTGATACTCTCCTTATTGCTAGTCATATGAGGCTTCACATGGTAACCTTGGTGAGGCTTCACATAGTGAGGCTTCACATGATTACCATGTGAAGCTTGTGACACTTCTTCGATTTAAAGGCGCTGTGCACGTGCAACTTTTCCACCTTGGAGGCAGAAAACCTGAACAATAGGATCATCTGTCACCTTATGCTTTGCATGATAAAACCCTGGTTACAATCATGCAACAAAGTGCATGAGAAGAGGCTGAAACACAAGAGGCTTTATGGACAAGAACATAACCACACATCCTGCCTGTTTTCACAACTCTTAGCGACGCTGCATTCAAGCCCCTTTTTTGTTTTTCACAGATCTGCTGCCAGCCGAATCAAAGTAAAACTTAGGCGTCAGTTTTACTGTGTAGATAGCTTTCAGCCTGCACATTTAAAGATAATTAATATTCTATTCCTAATACAATAAGGGGGAGGCGAACTCAAAGAAATGGTAAAATGAGAGAGGCTGTCGAACGAGATCTGGTTTAACCGCAGTTTTTTTGCAGTTTGATGTTTTCAGATGAAGCAACAGCAGAGCTGAATCAAAGAGGCCGACTGACGGGGGATTTTAGATTCTTCTCATTTTTAAAACTGCCATATTTACTGTTTTAGGTCAAATTGAACAACATTCTGTTTTCATATTATAAAGGGAAATATGTGATTGCTTATCTTATAAGCTAAACAAAAATGAGGCAATTATCAATACATATCGACACAAAATCAACTCATTTTAATAATATAATTTATTTAATTTCTACTATGTTTTCTTGGCCAGTTATGTTTAATCAGATGTTACAATGGAAATATGTTTAAAATATAGAGTGGACCTTTGCTTTCAAGTTAATTTAATGCATTTTTCAGACGGGTTTGATTTTATCTACAAATAATAAAAGTGACCTTCTTTAATGTAATTATGTTGTGCTATTATGTGTATTTAGATTCTTAGAAATGCAACATGTTTGCTCATATTTTGTTTTATTTGTTTTAAATTGAATCAAGCGTTTGATTTGTCTGATCAACTTTTATTCTTATTTAATTTTATTACAATTTATAGGTTTATTCTTCCTTACTTAGATTCTCAAAATTTGAGACAGATAATGAAAAATAAACAGAAGTTGGGAGTAACTTTTACTGAGTAACCTTTTGGGAAAACAAATCTATCAGGAGAAGTTTTTATTTGGGTTATATTATTTTGAACTGTTGCTGCTCTTAAAAATAAAGTAAAATTCATTTTAGTCTTTAAAATACAAGAATTTATACGTAGTGGTATAGACAATGATCATAGTTGATCATTGTCTCAATGATCACCTATGTAATCTTTTTATTAAACTTTTTAATTCTTACCTGAATAATGTCTTGGATGGCAACTTTTACTTTTACTTTTACTTAGGTAAAGATTTGTTGAAGTAGAGCCACTCTTTTGCTGTATGATACAATTGGGCTCCAAAATGAGATATATGAAAACTTAACTCTAAAACAAGACTTATTTTTTCCACGCCTGTCAAAACAAAGATTATTCAAATTGTTGCGGTAAAATTTTACTGTAATATAATTGAATTACTTGTACTTTTCCGTCATTTCATTGATTTTATTTTATAACTTAATTACATTTTTATTATTTGAATTTTGCTCAAATTTGTTTTGTTTTATTCTTCATCCAAACTAAAGTCAGCGGCTGCGCCACTTCCGTATATGACGTACTTCCTTCCTGCTGAACGACGGAAAAAGAGAGGGGGGTCTCTGCGGAAAAAAGGCTTTAGATTGAAAAACGAAACTGTTTTTAGTCATTTAATAATTAGAATATTGATGTAAAATCATACTGTTTTAATCAAATTGACATTGATAGTAAATAGAAGTAAAACTGGACTTTTAAGTGAAAATGAGAGCGCTCGGTCTCCCCCGTCTTCCCGACATGGTTCCTTCCTTCCCCGTTCGAAACAGAAGCGCGAGGACGTTACTGCCGGGGAGATTGTTGATGTTTCCCGAAGACAGAAAAAAATAACCCAGGTACTCAGAAACAAGCAAACAAAGATTTACTGTGACACGGAAACACATAAAATATAGTCCTTATTAACTACACTCCTCGTTTCTTCTTATGTTGTGAAAATGTAGGGTAATCCACAAATTCTTGTTAGCAGCTTGAGGGATCAAAGATGGACGCTCGTTGAAACGAGTAGCAGAATTTGGTTGTTAAATCGTTTATAACTGGCGGTTTTTCCTCCTTCAGGATGGACATAGCGACGTTTAAAGTCTCTGCTGGTGGCCATCCAGCAGTACAGAGACAGCAGGACCGTTCAGCACACTGCGCAGCTGCAGAAACAGGTGGAGGTGAGCGCTCAGGGGGATTGTTTTGGACTGTCACACACACACAGACACACACACGTTTGATAGCTTTATAGTTCTGGAGTTGTACTCTAAATGGTGTTCTCCAATTAC